TATATATATATATATATATATATATATATATATATATATATATTTCGTTTTGTTTATAAATTTATTTTGTTTCTATCAATTCCAAGAATCATCGTGTAACGAAATTCTGATTCGAATTTTAAGTTCTAACAGTTGCCAGTTCAGTATTATTCAAAGCCATTGAAGTTTGCAGAATTTGGTGAGATTTGAAATGAATTGCATTTTAATCTCACATCTGGTTACAAGAAAGTCTGGAATTAAAATTCTATAAAGATTAAATTTGGAAATCTCGTGGAGTAGTTGGTACTTGGTATTTTACGGTATTTCATAAATTTGTTTGTAGCATGTTTTAAAATATGTTAAAAATATTTGTTTAATTTAATTATTTTTATAATTAATAATGGTCATTACAGGAGATTTTCCATCAAAACGCCAAGCGGGTCGGGTCATCTTACCTTGTTTAGAAATAACAATTTGGGCCACATCTTTCATCAGATCCTGGAACACGCAGACTTCCCCTGCTTTATGTTCCTTCTCGACTCGATTATCGTCTCCGATTCCGTAGTTATTCATCTCAAGGTAATCTTCGATCATCACTTCCACAATCATTCTCCTTCTAAGTTGATTACTTCTCAGCATCTTTTCTGATATAATTGCAAAGCAATTTGTATGTAGTAGCAACAATCTCCATAATGTTTTGGATTCTAGGATTCTGTAGCGTAAACTGACTTTAAAGTAATCATCGTAATTAATCTGAAGATCAGGTTGCTGTCCTTGGTATAAATCAATGTTTATTCTCCTCGTATGGCTATTGATGATGGTCAATTAAGTTGTTCCCTCATCGATTAGGATTTATGAATGCATTTCAGATACCACCGTCACAAGCTTTAGAATGTTAAATTTAAGCTAGCTATGGTTGATCAAGTTGGTTACGACAGAACATGAACGGATAGTTTGGTAGTTAAGATTTGACGGTTATTTATCTGTCAACCTGTGTGAATCATTGTGTCGTTTACTGCAACGGTTACAACCCTTCTTAGTAAATATATGTTTGTAAACTATGTATGTATTGGTTATTGATTCAATACTAATTGAAGCATTATGTTTAGTTTGCTCTAACATTGTGGTATCAGAGCACAGAAGATGGCCTCAAGTTCGAACACCATCTTGCACCCTCAACTTCCCAAATTAAATGGAAAAAGTTACTGCCACTAGAGCATACAAATGAAAGTCCTATTTGAATCACAACTCACAAGAATTATGGGATATTGTTGATCAAGGATTGATGAACTCACATAGGAACAAGAAGATGAATTAAGGGACTTAAGAAAGAAAAAAGGGCTCTCTACATCATATATCAAGCAGTAGATGAGATCATTTTTGAAAGGATATCCTCCACGGTTTCCTCTAAGGATGCATGGGATATGCTCTATATAACATATCATGGAGAAGACAAGGTAAAGGTGGTTAGATTACAAACTCTTAGATGTGAGTTTGACAAGCCTCAAAATGAAAGATGCAAAAACAGTGGAAGAATTCTACGATTCTATTATTAAACCAACTTAGATTAAATGGTGAAGTTATAGAGGATAGAAAGATAATTGAGAAGATCCTCAGGAGTTTAACTATAAAATTTGAGTATGTTGTTGTGGCAATTGAAGAATCTAAGAATCTCTCAACATTATCTCCTGAGGGTCCACTTGGAACCCTGCTGTCTCATGAATTGAGAATGAGACAGTTTGACTCCACACCATATGAACAGGCCTTTCAGTTGCAATCATCAAATAACCAAGAAAGAGGCAGGTTTTATGGAAAGGAACAAGAAGTGGAATTCAAAGGAAGAGGTAGAGGAAAACAAACTACTTCAATACAATGTTTTCGCTGTCAAAGTTTGGCCACATAGCCAAATTTTGTAGAAAAAGGATAGCAGAGGAAAAAGAAAACAATTTTATCAATACGGAAGAAAATGATGATACCCTATTTATGATACTCAGCACTCAGGAGATTCCTATTAACAGTACTTGGTATGTTAGGAAACAAGGACCTCTTTGACCATATTGATGAGACTCAAAAGAAAGAAGTAAGGACATGTGATGACAAGAGGTTGAGTGTACATGGAATAGGAGACATTCTAGTAGATATCAAGAATGGACAAAAGAAAAGGATATCCAGTGTGTATATTATGTTTCAGGATTGAAACATAATTTACTTAGTGTGGGACAACTTTTGCAGAAAGGTAATGATTTACATTTCAAAGGAGAAACATGTGAAATGAAGGATCACAATGGAAGCCTTATGGGTAAGATCAACATGACAGGTAACAGAATGTTCCCTTTAAACTTTAAAGAAAATACTTTGTTCTCCTTTAGTCTATCTACAAAGCAGCATCTATGCTATGGCACCATAGGTTTGGTCATGCAAACCTTGGGTACTTGAGTTACATGAAGAGGCACAACCTAGTGAAGGGAATGCCTAGCATAAATAAAATTTAGGATGTATATGAAGCATGTATGTTGGGAAAGCAAACAAAAGAATCATTTCCTCAAAAAGGAGCCTGAAGAGCCACCAAACCATTAGAGCTTATCCACACAGATATGGGTGGACCTATGAAAACTCCCTCAATTGGTGGAAACAGGTACATGCTTACCTTTATAGATGATTACACCAGAAAACTATGGTTTTATTTTTTAAAAGAGAAATCTGAGGTCTTTAACATTTTTAAGGCTTTTAAGGCCTACGTTGAGAAACAAAGTGGTCACATGATCAAAACAGTCAGATCAGATGGTGGAGGAGAGTACAACTCCACTTATTTCCTTGATTTCCTAAAAGAGAATGGGATCCATCATCAAGTGACCACCACGTATACCCCTCAGCAGAATGGGGTAGCGGAAAGACTTAACAGGACCATTATTAAGAAGGCAAGGAGCATGTTGAAAAGTAAAAATATGGACAATTCATTTTGGGCAGAAGCAGTGTCCTGTGCATGTTATTTAATGAATAGAACCTCAACAGAAGGTCTCTCCAACATGATAGCACAAGAGGCATGGACTGGATTCAAGCTTACTGTAGGACATCTTAGGACCCTTGGATGTGTGGCTTACTCACATATTCCTAAACAAAAGAGGAACAAGTTGGATGAAAAATCTGAGAATACTATATTTGTTGGTTATAGTGATAGGTCAAAGGCTTATAAGCTTTATAATCCTATCACTAAGAGGACCATAATAAGTAGGGATGTGTTTGAAGAGGAAAAAATATGAAATGATCCATCAAGGCAAGAAGATAGTAACTCACAAATTGTAGCAGTTGATGAAGGATAGAAGGAAACTCACTAAGATCAAGAGGAACTTGATTCTGATACTCCAATGAACTCTCCTATAACTCCTCAAACTTCTGAGAGTCCAAGCACTCATATGGATACCATTGAAAGTCCACCAAGAAGGGATACAAAAGCCTAAGGGATATATATAATGACTCAAGAAGCTTGGAATTTAACGACACTGCAGATTTTGTTCTGTTTTCTGATGCAGATCCAGTGTCATTCAAAGAAGCTTGGCAAGAAGAAAAATGGAGGGATGCTATGGACAAAGAAATAGAGGCCATTATGAAGAGTGATACCTGGGAATTGACAAGTCTTCCAAGTGGCCATAAATCCATTGGGGTCAAGTGGGGTCTATAAGACCAAACTGAACGAGAAGGGTGAAATTGACAGGTATAAAGCGAGGTTGGTAGTGAAGGGTTGTAACCAAAAATATGGAATTGATTACCAAGAAGTGTTTGCTCCTGTGATTAGATTGGAAACAGTTAGGTTAGTCTTAGCTTTGGCTGCACAAAACAGATGGAAGGTGCACCAAATGGATGTAAAGTCAGCCTTCCTCAATGGGAATTTGGAAGAAGATGTGTATGTAGATCAACCTGAGGGATATGTAAAGAAGGGTGAAGAATACAAAGTTTGCCATCTAAAGAAAGCCTTATATGGCTTAAAACAAGCACCAACTGCTTGGTACAGTAGGATTGAGAGTTATTTCTTGGCACATGGATTCATCGAATGTCCTTAAGAACATACTCTTTTCACTTAGAAAATTGTAGGTATGATTCTTATAGTTTGCATATATGTTGATGATTTGGTTTTTACTGGCAACTCACATAAATTAATATAAAAGTTCAAGGAAAGTATGAAGAATGAGTTTGATATGACAGACATGGGCTTACTTCATTACTTTTTGGGAATTGAAGTAAGGCAAGATGAAGAAGGAATCAAAATTGCTCAACAAGGGTATGCACAAAATCTAATTGATAAATTTAATATGAGACAATCAAATTTTGGTGTTACTCCTATGAAATTTGGGATCAAACTCTCAAAAGATGGTAGGGAAGAGAATGTGGATGCTAGTTCACATAGAAGTCTGGTAGGCAGTCTCATGTATTTGACTGCCACTAGGCCTGACTTGGTGTTTTCAGTAAGTATATTGAGCAGATTCATGGAATCTCCCAGGGTAAGTCACTGGGAAGCAGGGATGAGGATTCTAAAGTATGTGAAAGGGACCCTGAATCATGGAATTATTTACTCAAGGACAAGCAACTTCAAGCTCACTGGATTTAGTGATAGTGACTATGGAGGCAATTTAGATGATGGAAGAAGTAAAGGAGGCTATGTATTAAATATGGGGTGCAGTGTCTTGGCAGTCCAAAAAGCAAAGTATAGTGGCCTTGTCTTCTGCTGAGGCAGAATACATGTCACTCTCCATCGCAGGATGTCAAGCACTTTGACTAAGGGATATCCTAAATGAATTGGAACACACTCAGTAAGGACCTACTACCATATTTTGTGACAACAAGTCTGCCATTGCTCTATCCAAAAACCCAGTGTTTCATGGTAAGAGTAAACATATCAGGATCAATATTCATTTTATTAGAGAATTAGTATCAAATGGGGAAGTCAAGATTGAGTTCTGTGGAACTAAGGAACAACTTGCAGATTGCTTCACAAAGGCCCTTCAGTCTAGAAGTTTCAGAAGCATGAAAGAGAGTTTGAAGGTTCAACCATGTCTAGCTTTAGGGGTGTGTTAAATTTAAGCTAGCTATGGTTGATCAAGTTGGTTATGACAGTTGACTGTTAGGAACATTAACGGATAGTTTGGTAGTTAAGGTTTGACAGTCATTTAACTGTCAACCTGTGTGAATCATTGTGTCGTTTACTGCAAGGGTTACAACCCTTAGTCTATATATGTTTGTAAACTATGTACGTATTGGTTGTTGATTTAATAATAATTGAAGTATTATGTTTAGTTTTCTCTAACATAGAAGGCATGATCTTTTCTTTTTTGTTTCCAGCATTGTGCTTTTAGAGAATAACTCGGTTTACATTATCAATATCCTGGCTAATTGTCTTCTATCATTTTCTAGTGAAAACCTGGTACCTGATAATTGTGAGGTCACGTGTGATCCTACACCCCCATCTACTGGCATAACTTGTTTAGTTCCAACTTCCAAGGATGTTAATTTCATCATGTGGCAATTACTTATCCATCTAATCATATTTTATTAATGAAAGCTGTCTTTTCTTTGAACATGCAATCCATTTTGTTATGTAGCTTGTATGCTATTGCTTGCTCCTCGTCCTCATGGCCATTACTCGAGATATACTTTATGATACCATGTTGGATGTGAATGTTAGCACCACGAACATATAGAGCATGCTGATTTCATAAAGTTATAAAGTTGAAATCTTGGTATGGAATTATTAGAAAGCTTAGAAAACGTTGATACACTCACATATTTATATATATTTGTATTTGGTTAATTACCTTAGTTTCTTGTTATAGTTGTTTTTGGAAGCAATTTCACTTATTAAATTTGTTGTAACCAAAGAATGCTAAGACGATCAATATGATTGCAGTTGCTTTTGCCTATGCACTATGCAGTATTGAATTATATGGTTTAGGATATCACAACTTCATAATCTATGGTGACGGTTGAATTTCTTTTTTATTGAATGTGTTGCTAATTAAACAGTTCTGAATTAACCAAGTGGTATTTTGCCTGAAGGTATTAGTGCATCTCTACAACCCTTAGGTTGAGAGTTCAAGCGTCTTTCAAGGTATCAGTTCGTTCGCTGTTTCAAAAATAATACTTCTGATTTAGGTCCTACGGTGTAAAATATTCAGTTTCTTGCTAAATTATAGGATCTATGTTAGTTTTCATGGTTGATTTCTTGTCTTAAAAAAATCGTAATGTGCTTTGGTAGCATAAAATGTGACCAACTACTTTCTATTGCTCTTGTTCTTATCTATTTTGATGTTTGCTCTGTTACAGGGACATTACGCAGAGCAGTTCACGGTATATGGTCACAATAGTCAATTCACTCCTATGTATTGGGCATAATGTTCCTATACGTATGGACTTACCTGAAATTTTATCCTGTAAAGTCTTCTTTATCATTGTTTATTCAATATTATTTATAGAAACATGTAGTTTGTCTGGTAAGAAAGATGAGTGTTCTGAAAATAAAAAGGAGCATGTAGTTAGTTGACTGGTTAACATTTTTACATGTGTTAGATTATATACTCTTGACATCATCTATATTTCTTTTTCTAGGGAAGGACAATCGTAGAATATGGAATTATCAACTTCCTAAGGGTTTGAGAGAATGAAAAGTAAAACTTGGAGATGGGTTTTAGGATTGATATATATACTTGCTGTTGCAACCATATGGATAGCTGCTAGTTTTGTAGTTCAGTCAGTTGTTGATGGGGGTGTCTCGCCATTTCTCATCACGTATATATGCAACTCATTGTTTGTGATATACATCCCACTAGTAGAAATCGGGCGTTATCTGGAGGATAACTATGGGAGTTTGCTGTTTTGGAGAAGTAGAAATGATAGTGGCTCAGTAGGAATACAAGAATCGGAGGTGGCCACCCTTCTTGTAGAAAATGATGGTGGTGTACAGACTAATGGATTAGACTTTGGTACAGCGGAAGCGGTTACTCATGGTGATGATGTTGCTTTGGGAACTAAGGTTGTATTGGATCAACATGCCATTGAAGGAGATGGTAGTGGGGAATTGGACGCTAAAGGGCGTTGGACTCGTAAAAGACTTGCAAAAGTCAGCCTGTTGATTTGCCCATTCTGGTTTCTTGCACAACTTTCATTTAACCTTTCTCTGAAGTATACTACTGTCACAGTAAGCATCTAACTTTTGCATTTTTTTTTCTCTAATCATGTGAATCTTTACACATCACTCAAGTCAAATCTGCTTATAAGCACTTGGGGAAGGGCAGATATAGTCTTGTAGAATTTATTTTGTTTTCAAGAAGAAGCAATGAAAGTGTTGTTGTTTATCTTCATATCAGCACACTTGATGCCTTTCCCTTATTTCTTATAAGCATTATTGACATAATCAATCCTAATGGGATATTCATTTAAGCCTAATGGTTTCTACTGAAGAATGTAAGAGTACTTTTTTTTACTCTTTACAGTCAAATACCATCTTAAGCACTGCATCCAGCCTCTTCACCTTTTTGGTTTCTCTCGCATTCTTGGGTGAGAAGTTCACTTGGATAAAGCTGTTCAGTGTTCTCCTTTGCATGGGAGGTACTATAATTGTCAGTTTGGGTGACTCGAAAACTGAAACGAGTGCAACAGCTCCAAACCCTGCTCTTGGAGATATTCTGGCTCTTGTTTCATCAGCCTTCTATGCTGTTTACATTACCCTCATCCGTAAAAACTTGCCAGAAGAAGATGACGATGCAAAAACTGGGAAGGTCAGTATGGCCCAGTTTCTTGGGTTTTTGGGGCTATTCAACCTTTTGATTTTCTCACCTATTGCCCTCATACTTCATTTGGCTAATCTGGAGCCCTTTGATACCATTAGCCGGAAGCAGTTTGGTCTAATTGTCGGAAAAGGTATGCAGCTTAATACAGTTTCAACTTCTTCTATTCTTGTTAGTCTCTTAACTAAGCTTTACAGTGATGTGTTGACTATCATACACATTCTATTTTCTCAATGAGCCTATTTGAACTTTTACCATGCCTTCAATTTTCATATATTCCCCACTGCAATTCTTGTAGTTCCTATTTATACAACTTGTTGGTATGCATATCAATTTGTTGCTTAGATAAATTGTTGTGCAGTAGCTAGTTAGTTTAATTTCTATCCCATGTCGTTTTAGAGTTGCGGAATAGTATTAATGCTCAATTGGAAATGAGGTGTAGAGAAATAATCGGCATTAGATGATTACATTATACTCAAAAAAGTTAGAAACATTTACAGACAAATTAAAGAGTAACTTGTGGACCACAATTGAAGTTATTGATTTCAAGTAATTATGAACCTCATGTAGGAAGGCTGTCCAACTAAGATCAAAGGAAATGTTGCATTCTTTTTTGGACAACCCGAAATGGGAAATACATTATTATACTTTTGGATGGAGGGAGTATTATGTTTGTGCTCATTGGGGGCAAATATGTCTCAAAACGTTATGTTTGGCCAGCAGTAAGACCGATAGACAAAAATGTAACGGAACATGAGAGAGAATGATCAAATAAATAAATTTAATAGGAAAGCAACCAAAAACCATTTTATTCATTAGTACAGGACAGAGGAACCTTCGAAAACAGTTAGACCACCCTTAAAAAAGCAAGTGCCTTTAAGAGGCCTTCTATTGGAATCATATCATAAGAATCCTTATTTGGTGCAAAACTCAAGTTATTCAATATGTAGATTTGGTGGGTTTAAAATAACCATGTGTAGTTTCTCATTTGATATCATCACCATTTGTGCACTTTTCTTTCAAATATGTGCATGATCGTCACTAAACCTGCTACCTTGCTTTCAAGCGGGATATACTGTGAGTTTGTTTGGTTTCGTCATTAAACCTGCTATGCCTGCTTTCAAGCGGGATATACGAAGTTTGGTTTGGTCACTAAACCTGCCACATGATAATTAATTTTTCGAATCATTTTTCATCATGATTTAGGTTTACTGGATAATGTGCTTAGCGATTACTTATGGGCAAAAGCCGTTCTACTCACTACAACAACAGTGGCAACGGCTGGACTCACAATTCAGGTGCCGTTGGCAGCTATTGTGGACACTGTGATGGGAAATGCACCAGGTTTTATGGATTATATTGGAGCTGCTGCAGTTATGGTTGGTTTTGCAGGCATCAACATTCCTTCAGCTACATGTTCGACCACGAAAGAATCTGCTCTTGAACTCGAAGAAAATCACACAAATGACCATAATACCCTCGGCATTGCTGACACAAACGATCAGGTACAGCCAAGAACATAAACCTACTAGCCAAATGGTCAACGGCCTCAGCCAAGAACGCAAACGATTAGTTACCGGTGGATCCCAATCTTTTTGGAAGTCCAGGGTTGAAGCCTCAGTTTTTGGTGAGAAGTGTGTGAGAGTTTTGTTCATATACAAATATATATATACATCAGAAAAGTAAACATAAACTTAGTGTGTTTCATATGATACTATCTTTTTATAGGCCTATACAACATTTTTTGATGATATTGTGACATTCTTAATCACTAGTTCATTACATCGAGGGGGCTTTTGATTAGATGGAATGTTTCTTGAAGAGTTTGGATTTCGTGGAAGGATTTGAAATACTTGAAGTGATTATCACAAAACGAATATTTTTAACGCATTTTAAAACATTGTTACAAATAAGTTCTATGAAATCCCATACCAACTATCCCATGGGATTTCTATATCCAAATGGTTGTCTGGTTTTATTTAAATCACAAGAATTCAATTCTAAACTTTTGTTTAAACCAAACATAGAATTGAAATGGAAGCTAATTTTAAATTCAATCAAATATTTTCTCCTCGTTTCATCTATTTGGTTATGATACTTTTGAGAAAAAAAAATCTAAGAGTAGCAAACATATAACTTACTGATTTCCAGTTCCAAAATTTTGAATTAAAAGACAGATCTAACATTCCCATTCACCTACGATTACAATTTACTAACAAAATCAAATCAAATATTAACAAAATCATTTACCAATTATGAAGAAAACAATATCAAAGTCATTGAAAAATCAAGATTATTAATCACAAGTTCAGTTTTTTATCCAAAAGCTAGGTCTGCACTTATGTATTAGGTCCTGAAATCTTAACCTTAAAAAATATAAGTAAATTCTTTAAAATAGTTTGACATAATCTTGTTATGGCCTTAGACCCCTACCACATACACTATCAATCCATGAGTTTCTGACAAGAATAACTCATTATTTTTTCAAAATTATGTTTTTAATCGTTAAATTTAAAAGTTTATAAAATTAACCATCAGTTTACCATTTAGCAAAGGATGGTGCGTACAGGGACCTGTGTGCAAAAAACAATTATGACATCGACGTAACTCTTCTTCTGATTGATTTGACCATCAGTTAAATTTAATTTTTATTTTAAAATTTTTATTTTTTTAGAAATTTATTTCTTTTTTAAAAAAACTAATTTTTTTTATATTTTATTTAATAAACATTTACGCTAAATATAATTTTTTAAATAACTTTTTAAACAAATCTTTAATTTTTAAATAATTTTTAGAAATTTATTTGTTTTTTTAAATTAAGTTTTTGTTTAAAAATTTATTCAATAAACATTTACGTTAAATGTAATTTTTTAAATAAGTTTTTTTGTAACACCCCCAAACACCACATTTGCACATAACACATTTCATTGCATAGAAATACAGTTTACACCACAATGGTCCCACTAATACAAGGATTCTTATATGTACAAAGTTTACATATGAAAAATTACAAAATAAAATCATGTACTATCACATGTACAACAACATGTATCTTCCAAAATAAGCAATCTCATGCAGATCTTCATAAAGCAGATATCAAGTTTAGGAAAATAATCACATTTTCTTTTTTCCCTTACTATCCCTGGACCCCGCAGTTCCTACATCGCATATTTTTAAAACAGAAAATGAGGGTTAGACCAGAAGGGTCTAGTGAGTAAATCTCTTCTTTGCAAAATGCAGGTTGATAAACACCAAAATATGAAAAAATATATTTGCTCAGGTATATTTGCATCTCAACCAGACAATGTAGCCCTCAATAAAATGAATAACAGGATAAACTCAATAACATCAGTTCTTGATACAAATGCATCTGTTTAAAGATCCAATATTCCCAAAATGAAACCATCATTGCAACCAAAGTCTCTTTGATTCATTAGTCTAAAAAGACCATAATTCCTCTGTAAATATTAATAGAAAGATTTAAGGCAATACTTGCCATTTGTGACAAACCATTTTTCCCTTCTCAATAATCTCTAAATTATTATTTCTAATAGAAATAATATCTTTAATTCATCAGGTCACAAAGAAATGATGATTCAAAGTTATTAAATCCAATTAGTAATAATAATAAGAGTTATAATAATATCCACATATGACAATGCCTCCCTTATTCCAAGTACACCACTCCTTCATATGCCACCCTTGTTCCTCCATCAAAACAGGGCTACTTATCAGAACAGACAAAAGTCACCACGTCTAAAAGTACTCATTCCTAGTTCCAAGCCAGAATAGGCAAAAGTCACCACGTCTGGGGGAACTACCTCTTAAAACAAGTTTCATACCAAAACAAACATACGTCACCACGCTTGATAGAAACATTTCCCAAAATCCAGTTCCATACCAAAACAGACTTACGTCACCACGCTTGGTAGGAACATATCTTTTATTTAAAAAGATATAAAATACCCCCTTTTTATAATAATTTAACCCAACAATATATTATTATCAATTTACAAAATTCCAAAGATTCTCAATACTTGAAAATTCTACCAAGTATAAAACATCCAGACAAGTTATCCGGACAAGCAATCTGGACAACACTGCCCCTTGTCCGATGTACAAATCCGGACAACATACTCTTGTCCGATTTATCAATCCGGACAATCCTCAAAGTCTTGTCCGATTAATCAACATATATTACACCGGCTAACACTTGGTCAATTTGTAACTAATCCGCACAACACTTGATCGATTTAAGACTAAACCACACAACACTTGATCGTATTCCTACTTCTCCTTTTAAAACCATTATCCGGTTACATAATTTAAAATCTTACCAACTTACTAAATCGCATAACCCAAGGTTCGATTTAAAGCTAAATTGAACAACACATGTCTGATTTAAAGCAATCCGGACAACACTATGTCCGGTTTATACTTAATCCGGTCACCCCTTTGTCCGGATAAAGACCCAAATTGGATACAAAGTTTCTTTAAGAACAATACACAATATTCACTAAAACTAGTAACAAAACAATATTTATATGAAAGAAGTTTAGAAAATCACTCACCTCTTTTGCAAATTTTTAGATTTGAAACAGATGAAGAATGCAAGACCAAATGCTTCTCCAGACAACTCTTCTCTGATTCTCCCAAATTGTAACACCCTCTTTCCATACATTGCATGTAACACATACTAACATACTGGAAATACATGTTTATACACCACTCAGGTCCCTTAATACAAGATTCTACCAGTATGAAATACATGGTCCAAAAATTCAAAATACAAATTCCTATACTAATCAATGTTCATCTATCAAAATTATACATCTCATCATCTAATCCTTATGCAGGTAAACATATATGGAAATTATCATATTTTTCCTTTCCCCTTACCTCCAGCACTTCCTGCAATACATATTTAAAATCACAAAACGAGGGTTAGACCGAAAGGTCTAGTGAGTTACCCTATTTATGTTATTGTAGGGTGAAAACCACCAAAACTTTTAAGTAAAACAACTTTTCATATATATATATATATATATATATGAACAAGTAAGAACCTCATATCGACACCTTCCGCTTTTCAAACCAATAATCTCTGCTTGTAAGCAATATACCAATCCCAACAGGTTTATACTAATCAAATTATCATAATGCCATTTTTAAACCTTTCAAATCAAATAAGGTTTATTCAAAGTTTCAGGCCAAACCTGTTATCTTCTCCTCAATAACATCCAGACTATGATTTCCAATAAGAACCCTGATCCTAAACCTTTAAGTCACAAAGAAATAAAGATTCAAGATCATGGTAATCTTAAAGGATATAATAGTAAGAGTTATATTACATAACCCACACATAAATGCCACCCTTATATCCAAATGTACACCTCTCCTTGATATGCCACCCTAATCCCATGGTACACATCTCCTTGATATGCCACCCTTATCCCATGGTACACCTCTCCTTGATATGCTACCCTTATTTTCTCATCAAAATATTTTCACAAAATAATTCCATAGAGAATAGACCGCAGTCAATGGAATTATTATCAGTTCAAATTCATTTTACCAAAAATTCCCACTTCTTGTTAAAATAGTAACAAAATGATGAGTCAAAAAACAATCCGGTCAAACCTTGGCCGGACTACCAATCCGGTCAACTCTTCTCATTTTGTCCGATTTATCACTTAGAATAATTCTCAAAATCTTGTCCGGATTACTAACCCGGACAACACTATTCATAATCGTTCGATTTAAAACACTTAACATAAGATCAAAGTTCATAAATCGCTCAATCTTTAAACCGGTTAAAACATGTCCGGTTTAATGTCTAATCCGCTTGACCCTTGTCCGATTTAAAACTAAACCGCTTAACACTCATCCGGTTTAGGTCTAAATCGCTAAACACTTGCCCGGTTTATATTTAAATCGCCTAAAGCTTGTCCGGTTTAAGACTAAACCGCTTAATACTTATCCGGTTTAGGTCTAATCCGGATAACACTCATATGATTTAAACTTAAAACCAGATGAAAATTTTAYACAAACAAYTATGCATTTCAATAAGAGTAAAATATTTAAATCACTCACCTTTAAAWTCTTTTTAGAAATAAGGTTGAGCAMAACTCRAATCCAATCAAAAGCAATCCGGTCACCACTACTTTCTTAAATCGCACACTCAGATTCTAAAAATGGTAAGAAGAAAGAAAAATTGAGGTTAACCCTCCTTTTATACCCTTCCCTTCATGGAAGGTCGGCTGACTTCAGCCTCACCACATGCATGCTTACATAACTCCATGCATATACATTCCCCCTTTCAAATAACCATATATATACACTTTTGCACATATGCACATGCATGCATGCATATCATACACACATACACACACACACACACATATATATATATATATTATGCATACATATGCACTCATATACACATAATCTCACATATTAGCATGATCAAATGTATCAATTTATCATACTGTCATGTATTCATATATAACAAATAATCACATATTCATTTCCTTTCTTTCCAAATCTGACGACACCCTTCCATGGCGAAACTTTCAACATCACAAAATCACCTACACCAAATTCAATTGGCTTTCGACGATTATCAACATAACTTTTTTTGGCGATCTTGTGCTGTTCTGATTCTTTCGCGGATTTGTTTGATTTTCTCAGAAGTTTCTTGGACAATTTCAGGACCCGTCAGCTGTCTTTCACCTACCTCATTCCAACATAACGGCGT